CTCTGTCGCCCAGGCTGGAGTGCAGTGGCCGGATCTCGGCTCACTGCAAGCTCCGCCTCCCGGGTTCACGCCATTCTCCTGCCTCAGCCTCCCGAGTAGCTGGGACTACAGGCGCCCACCACCTCGCCTGGCTAGTATTTTGTATTTTTTAGTAGAGAGGGGGTTTCACCGTGTTAGCCAGGATGGTCTCGATCTCCTGACCTCGTGATCCACCCGTCTCGGCCTCCCAAAGTGCTGGGATTACAGGCTTGAGCCACCGTGCCCAGCTGAGTTTTTTTTTAATGAGGTAAAAGGATGGGTTCCAATTTCAATCTACTGCATATGGCTAGCCTGTTATCTTAGCACAACTTACTGAATAGAAAGTCCTTTCCCTGTTGCTTGGTTTGTCAGCTTTGTCAAAGATCAGATGGTTGTAGGTGTGTGGCTTTATTTCTGAGTTCTCTAACCTGTTTCATTGGCCTATGTGTATGTTTTTGTACCACTACTGTGCTGTTTTGGTTACTGTAACCTTGTAGTATAGTTTGAAATTCTGTAGTGTGCTATCTTGGGCTTTGTTATTTTTGCTGAGAATTGCGTTGGCTATTTGGGCTCTTTATTTGTTCCATATGAATTTTAGGATAGGTTTTTCTTATTCTGTAAAAAAAAAAGTTGTTAGTAGTTTCGTAGGAATAGCATAGAATATGTAAATTGCTTTGAGTTGTACGGCAATTTTAGCAATATTGATTCTTCCTATCTGTGAGCACAGAATATTTTTCCACTTATCTGTGTCATCTCTGATTTATTTTAGTAGTGCTTTGTAATTCTCATTGTAGAGATCTTTCACTTTGCTGGTTTGCTGTGATCCTAGATATTTTGTTCTTTTTGTAGCTATGGTGAATAGCATTGCATTCTTGATTTGCCTATCAGCTTAGACATTACTGACATATAGAAATGCTACTGATTTTTGTACATTTATTTTGTATCCTGGAACTTTGTTGAACTTGTTTATCAGATCTTGGAGTGTTTGGGTAGATACTGTGGGATTGTCTAGATATAGAATCACATTATCTGTGAAGAGAGGTAGTTTGAATTCCTTTCTTCCTATTCGGATCACTTTTATTTCTTTTTCTTGCCTGTGACTCTGACTAGGACTTCCAGTATTATGTTAAATAGGAATGGTGAGAGTGGGCATCCTTGTCTTGTCCCAATTCTTAAGGAAAATGCTTCGAGCTTTTGCCTGCTCAGTATGATATTGGCTGTGGATTTGTCACAGGCCCCCAATCTCTTCTGACTTGTAGGGTTTCTCCTTAAAGGTCTGCTGTTAGCCTGATTTTGGGGGGGCGTTCCCTTTGTAAGTGACTTGCCCTTTTTATCTAGCTACCTTTAATATTTTTCTTTCACGTTGACCTTGGAGAATCTGATCACTGTGTCTCAGGGATGGTCATCTTGTATAGCGTCTTAAAGGGGTTCTCTGAATTTCTGGATTTTGAATATTAACCTCTCTACCAAGGTTGGAGAAATTTTCATAGACAGTATCCTTAAATATGTTTTCCAAATTGCTTTCTCTCTGTCTCCCTCTCTTTCAGGGATGCCAGTGAGTCTCTGCATAATCCCACATTTGGTCTCTACATAATCACACATTTTTGGAGGTTTTTAATTTTTTAAAATTCTTTTTTCTTTATTTTTGTTTGACTGGGTTAATTCAAAGAACCAGTCTTCAAGCTCTGAGATTGTTTTCTCAGCTTTGTTTATTCTGCTGTTAATACTTCCGATTGTGTTATGAAATTCTTGTAGTGAATTTTTAGCTCTATGAGATCAATTTGTTTCTTTCTTGAAATGACTGTTTTGCCTTTCATCTCTTGAGATAGTCTTACTGGATTACTTAGATTCCTTGGATTGGATTTAAACTGTCTCCTGAGTCTCAATGATCCCCACTGCCATCCAGATTTTCTGTGTCTGTCATTTCAGCCATTTCATTCTAGTGAAGAACCATTGCTGGGGAGTTAGTGTGGTTGTTTGGAGATAAGAAGGCCCTCTGCATTATACAGTTGCCAGCATTCTTGCACTGGTTCTCTTATCTGTTTTGGCTGATATTTCTTTAACCATGGTGTATTGTGAGTATAGTCAATTGACTTCATTTCTGAATGTTTTTACAGCACTAAGGCTTTGTGTAGGGTCTTTATTCGTGGCTGAATTCTTGCCCTTGTTTTCACATGGGAGTATGTTAGCAAAGTATTTTTATTGTTATAGTTTTGACTACAAACCAATAGATGACACTTATGCATAATGGCTGGTAAATGGGGTCTTACTAAGGCATGTGGCTCCTCTGTATTTCCTTGTGTTTGCAGCCATGCTCCTCCTTAGTACTCTGAGAGTGTGGGCTTCTCTTTCACTTCAGTGCCAACCACAGGTCTTGGCTTGGCATTCCCAGATTGTACACTACAGCCCTGGGGCAAGCTCAGGCTTTTTGTTCTTTCCCCAGCTTGGGGGCAGCAGGGGTATGGGGACCTTGGTAGTGCTAATAGCATAGGTGCTGTCACTTGTCTTTGGGAGCTCCACCTTAAAGAAAAGTAGAACCGCTGCCAATCAGAACAGTCAGCCAATGGTGAGGTGGCTTTGTGTGTAGTCCAAGTCAGGGAGCCTTGCCTGGTGAAGAGCAGGAGGGGTGGGGGCTCACACGAAAGACAGTCGTGCCTCTTCTCTGTAGGTCAGCTGTGGGGTGCTGGAGGCTCAGGTAAAGCACTCAGGCTCTTTTTCCTTCCCCAGCTTGGTGGCAACAAGGATGAGTACTACTACAGCAGCAATGGCAGAGGGACTAGTTGCCAGTTGCCAATGGGAATTCCACCCCAGAGAAACACAGAGCTGCCACAGATGGAAGTGATCAGGCAGAAGTAGAGTGGCTGCGTTGAGGGCCAAGGTCGGGAGGCCCTGCCCAGTAAGGAGTAGCAAGGCCTGGGACCTGCATGAAAAACAGTCTGGCTGTTTTTCTGTATGGCACGTGTGGCATGTTGGAGGCCCAAGATAGCTTTTGAGCTCTATACTGTCTCCCTAGCCTCAGGGCAACAGGGACTGGGGGGACTTTGGCAGTGGTAAAAGCTGTGGGCCTATTGTGTTACCTCTGGAATCTCTGCCCTAGAGAAAGGTAGAGCTGCAGCCAGCCCAAGTGCTCAGGTTGGAGGGTGGATGGCTGTGCTGAGGACCTAGGCCGGTTGGCTTTGCTTGGCAAGGTACCCCAGAGGTGAGGCCTACAGTCTGTCCACATCTCAGTATCCTAGATGGGGCCCTTATTGTTGGGGCGCATGGGAGATCCCTGCCTCCCTTGTTGGCAGAGCTATGGCAGCTGGTCCCAGGGTGCTCAGGAATCCAAAGCCCTTGGAGCTCCACATGGGCCTGAACAGGGATCTGCTGTGACTCCATGCAGCTTTCTGTGTCAGTCTGGGGTTCCCAGAGAGTAGGGTTGGGCAGGATCTCTTGTGCCTAGGTTTGCAAAGGTTCATGGCAGCAGTGTGTATGGTGGAGAGCCTTCCTTGGCTCTGTGCCAATCCCAGGCAGGCAGCTGTCCTGCCTCACTCCTCTCTGCTCTCCATGGGTCACCACTGCTTCCTTGATGAATCCCAAGGTGGCCTCCTGGATGAGCCAGTTGAAGAGCCACTTGCCACTTATAAATTTATAAGTTTACTTGCCACTCTGTCTTCTCTCCTGTGAAAGCAGTTCACACTAGCTGCTTCTAGTCGGCCATGTTGATCTTGAAATCTAGATTGTATTGCGGTTCCAAAATTATTTTAGAATGGTTTAGCACGTACTTCTAGAGAAACAAACCTACTGAAAATATTTTATGATGTGTGTACGGTCTATTCTCCACACACTTGCCCATGTATTAGGGCATATGTTAAATACTGTATTGATGGTTTACCTGTGTGAGTTCTTTTTTCCCTTTAATAGGTTCACTAAGTTTGCTTTCAGTTTTAGTTTCTTCTTATCCTTTGTGACTTAGTTTTATTTTTTTTGAAATATATGAAACCTGAAACTGATTCCGAAAGTAAAAAAATATGCACGGTATACTTAGAGAAGTTCCATTCCTTCCCTAGTTCTCCCTCTTTCATCTTGTAGGTAATCAGCTATATTGTATTCTTACATTTCACCTGTTTCATTTTGTAAAGCTAAGTATCTTTCTAATGTCCTTTCTTTCGTTTTTTTTTTTTTTTTATCTTTCTTCCTTGCCTAACAGTGGCATACAAGTTTTCCCTTTTTCAGGTTTTTTTTTTCACTTAATATTATCTCCTGGAAATCCCTACAGGTCAGTTTATAGAGATTTTTAAATTGCTTTTACAACTCTATGTATAGTTTTGTACCACATTATTAACCATAACTTTCATTATACTATAGTTTATAACAAGCTCGTCCAACCTGCCTTATTTTTGTTGTTGTTGTCATTCTGGTCTGTTTTGTTTTGGGCTTTTAGCAGCCCAAAGCCATTGTTTTTAGTTTCTGTCTCTAGTGATAAGCGGAAAAGAGGAATGAAAAAGGGGCTTTACTGGCACAACCAGAAATAGAAACTAAGAATCTGTGACTGTATTCTCTCCCTTGGACACCCCTAGAACTTTATGGTATATGGTATATACATTGGCTTCTTCAACCAATATCCAATGCTTGAACATTTATGTGGTTTTGAGTATTTTATAATTACAAATAATGCCATAATGATAAACTTGTACATATGTATTTTTATTGTTTGGTTTATGATGTCTGTATGATCTATACAATGTAAATAACCTAAGAAAAATATAGACTAACTATATATGATTCCTAGAAATGTTTATAAAGTGAGAAAGCATCAACATACAGCCATTAAAATTCTTTTCAGCATTTTCTCATCAAATCTATCATTATTGTAATTTAGCTATAACTTTGCACAAGTGACAGAGAATGCTCATGTAAATGTTTTATAAATTTGAAATACTGAAATTTCACAATAGATCCATTTTTCTATTTAGTGGAATAAATATATTTTCTTTATGTAGCTCATAATGAAGTACCAAATGAAAGGCTTATAGTTGAGCATCAAGAATCGATGTCAAAAACCAAATTGCAAGTAAAGAAACAAGAAACTTCTACAGAGCAACCACTCACCAGTAAGTATAAAAATTACACATAACTTTAAATTATTTTAAATTAGTCACAGCAAAGATATTTTTCTTCAGTTCATGAGTCTTGAATTTACAGAAATTTTACCTTGGACCTAAAGTGTGAATACCATAAGATAACTAGAGAACAAAAGCTAGAGTATTTATTACTTTTAGTTAGTATTTCTGGTTATAATGGTATTTTGTAGCCATGATCATGTGCTCATTATTCACCAAGGACAATAACAGGCCAATAATTGTCTTTCAAAGAGTGTGTACCTTTTATCCAGCTCTAGGAAGTTACAGGTCCAAAAGCCCAATTTATTCCACTGACCTATTCAGTAAGCTGCTTCCATTTGGCATCAATCAATGAACAGAAAATTTGCTGAGACCTGTAACTCAAATAAAGATCAGAGAAGCCAAGGGGAACAGTGGCATAGGAGGCTTGTTAGATGGACTCCAGGGCATTCTGTTGGTTGGGGCCTGCTCCAAGGTAGAGGCCTTTTTGGTAACTTTAAAATGATTGCAATCAGAATTCCATCAAGCGCAATGTGAGACTGCCAGTAGCAGAATAGGTTCACAAATTGCTTGGCCTCTTGTGTATCTGTTGCAATAGAGAGGGACCATAGTTTGACAGTTATCTCCTCAGGCGTGAGACATGTTTCCCCTTTCTAGTTTACTCCCAGGAATTCCCCTTGGGTAACAAGGTCTTTGTATTTTTTATGTATTAATGGCCCCACCATGTTGCTGCATTGGGCCAATATAACATCCAGTACTTGCTGGGTAGTGGACTTGCCTGGGCCTACCAGTAGGGAGTCATCAATGTCTTGGAAGGTTAATTGGAACAAAACTGTTTCCAGATCATTGTTTTGTGGAGGGATTTTAAAGGTGTATTCCAACCTGTTCCGTGTAAGACAAACTGTTCCTGATCATCTGTGTGGACAGGAATGCTGAAAAGGGCATTTGCAATGTCAATTGCTTTATACCTACTTCCCTCAGCTTGGGTAATTACCTTTATGGACAGTCACAATGTCAGGTCATAGTAGTGTTCTAAGATGTACCATAGCATTAAGCTTCCCATAATCAATGGAGTTTATAGGCACCCAAGGCGATACACAGGCCAACTTAGTTATTGCATGGAGAAATAGTCTCATGAACATCTTTGGCTTTATGATTATGAAGAGCTGAGCAATAAGGGCAGTGATTTCTATTTCTCCCTCAGGTAATTTCTGGAGACAAATCTCTAGACACTTGTGGTTTAGTAAGTTTACAGTCTTCCACATGCTTCACTAAAATGACTTTAACTGCAGTAGTTCCCATCAGGGCTTGACGCTGATGTGATTGGGGGTTCACACATAAAGTACTTCTATATCAATAATATATTCAGTAGAGGGAGTCATATAAACGGAGGCTTGTAGTGGCCCAGTGGGACCTACCCATAGTTGTGTTTGGGTAAGGGTCATGTTTTTGGTGGCTTCAGACCACACACCATATAGCATTATCTGTTTCACCCTCATCCTGGTGTCAAGAGATTGTGGAGATCAGTCATTGGTAAACTAGTGTTCGAATGGTGCGAGTTATGCAGTTCTGCACTATGACTTCTTTGAACTCTGACTTGGTATACATCCTCAGGTGCCACTGTGGAAATAGGTCTGTTGGCCTAACCCCTAATTTTGTTTTGTTTTGAAAGCTGAGACTTCTGGGTAAACACAGACCATGTTCTCTGATTCATCTTAAGATCACTATGATGGGTAGAGGAAATAGCACATGTGTTAGTTATAAGTATCACTACCATTTTGACTCTAGTGGGGCTGTATGTTGGCCCTATGCCCTACTGCCTGGCCAGAAGATCCTTAGTGGTGAGTCCATCAAGCTCTTCTTTGAGACTTCATTGTTGAGTGACTAGACAATGCTTGCAGTGTCAGGGAACTCATCATGAGTGGGCCAGACTTTCAGAGAACAAATGATAGCCTATAGAGAAAGGAGAGTATCTCTAGTGCTCATATCTCTTTTATTTCTCTGCCACCCTTCTTCATCTTCCTTGGACACTTTTAGGACACTCGGAACGAGGGGCCCTGTTGTGACACACTATATACGGTGCCACTGTCACACACTATCTTAACATGCTTACCTCCTTTATGGTAGAAGCAAACTACTCAAGTTCCTATAAACTCCTCAGGTCACTGGTAAGGTGAACCTGAGAGAACTTTATTCTTTCAAATTTAATATAAATCTCAAATAAGTGTGTCATCATAGGTTGTCTGTTCACGCCAGAGACATATTTAGAGTTAACAATAGTCATTGGGTGCAACTCAGCAAGCAGTGTTTGCAGTGACTTGATAACAAACTACTTTGTTTTCTGGTTTATCTTTCTGTGTTTTATTTAATAAAGATAGATATCTCTCCGTATTTTTCTTATTTCCTCTTCTTTCTTACTTAAAAGATAGTATTCTAGGTATTTTCCCTTTTGGTTTTTTTCCACTGAACATTATTTCATAGAAATATCACCAAGTCAGTTTGTAGGGATCTTTTTCATTCCTTTTATAACGGTATGTGCAGTTTTTTGGACCATATTATAGCCCTTAGTTGATGTTGTCATAGTTTATATGCTTTACTCAACAGATCTATCCTTGTACATTTAGGTGGTTTTGAGTATTTGCAATTATGCTGTAATGAATAACCTGGTGCATATGCATTTTCATTGTTTGGTTTATGAATATGTATTAATTGAAAATATAAAAAACCTAAGAAAGCCAGAGACTAAGATAAAACATATTCAAAGTGCAGGAATATTGATATGATGAGATAGTCCCAACACACACCCATTGAAACTCTTCTCACAATTTTCATAGTAGATATAGCATCTTGGTAATTTATTTGTAACTCTATAAAAATGAGAGAAAATGCCACTGCACACTGGTAAATTTGAAATCTATAGATTTCAAATAGATTTATTTTTAATTTACGGACTAAACACATTCTTTTCTATAGCTCATGATAAAGAACCAGATGAAAATCTTACACTTGGGCATCAAGACTCAATGTCAAAATCAGAAATGCAAGTGAAGGAACAAAGAACTCTCAAAGGGCAAAGAATTACTAGTAAGTATAAAAAATAAAGATAACTTTAAATTATTTAAAAGTAAGTTCATCCAAAGGTATTTGTGCTTTGGTTCACAAAAGTTTTACACTTTGACTAAAATGTGAATACCCTACCATAATTAAAGAAAAAAAGGGAAATATATTGATACATTTTGGTTGACATTTCTGACCCTTAGATTATTTCATGACCACAGGACACACAGTATCCCCCAAGGCTTTGTAACAAATGTGTAATTGTCTTTCCAAAGTAGTGTGCCTTTCAGGCAACTCAAAGTAATTATGGGCCCAAAAACTTAAAACCTCTCACCTGTGGCCTTCTGCCATCGGCACCAATCAGCAAAGATATTGCTTAGATCTGTAACTCAAAACAGCAAATGGGGATCATAATAACTGAGGAGAAGGTAACCTAGGACACCTGTTTAAGGGCCTCTAGGGCATCCTTTTGGTCATGGCCCCACTGAAATGAAACAGAATTTCTGGTAACCCCATAGATGAATGAATGTCATCAAGGATCGCACATAGGGAAAATGAGAGTGTATTTATCCAAACAGTTCCAGTAACTGCTGGGCTTGTTTTTTTTTTTTTTTTTTTTTGAGACAGAATCTAACTTTCTTGCCCAGACTGGAGTGCAGTGGCCCAATCTTGGCTCACTGCAACCTCTGCCTCCCAGGCTCAGGTGATTTTCCTGCCTCAGCTTCCCAAGTAGCTGAGATTATAGGCATGCCCCACCACGCCTGCCTAATTTTTGTATTTTTAATAGAGGCGAGGTTTCACCATGTTGGCCAGGCTGGTCTCAAACTCCTGACCTTAAATGATCCACCCACCTCAGCCTCCCAAAGTGCTGACATTGTAGGTGTGAGCCATTGTACCCAACCTGGGGTTGTTTTTATTTGTTAGACCAGAAAAGATCAAAGCTTGGCAGTCTCCTCTGGAATGAGATGTCACCCCTTAGAGATCAATCCTAGGCATTTCATCCAGGTACTAGGTAACTGTATCTTGTCTGAACTAATGGCCCAGCTAAGAGCCACTGGTGAGTCATTAGAGCAGCCACTCATTTTGGGTGATGTCCTTGCTTGAGTCCACTTAAATAATATAATCAATATAATGAAAGGCTAGTCCTCCCTTGGGACCAGGCCATTTAGAGGTCATTATGCATTGATGACAGATATTGGAGCAGTTTGGTAGCCTTGTGGAAGGATATTAGTTATGTTTTCCAACTTATTCTATATAAGGTTAAACTGAAAATCTAAGTGAAAAAAAGATATGGAAAGGCATTTGAGATGTCAGTTGTTGCAAACCAAGTTCCCTCAGTTTGGAAAATATCCTGTATGACAACTATAGTTTCATGTGTCTTTGGCGCCCAGGGCTGTAATATAGCAATGGACCAGCAAAATCAATTGACTCATTATGCACCTTAGGCTGTGTACAAGATCTACTTAGTTATTGAACGAAGAAATAGTCTCATGGAGAACTTTTGCTTCAATAAGCTCAACAAATGATGACAGCCATTTCTGTTTCTTCCTAGTAAGCTATTTTGGGAAATAAAGGTGCTAGGCACTGTTAATCTGGATATTTACACTCTTCCATATGCCCAACTAAAATGACCTTAAATGCCTCAGTTCCCATCAGGGATTGGGATGAATGCAAGTGGGGTTTCACATAGAAAATACATCTATACCAGCAATACATTTGGTGGGGGAGGGGAATAAAATGGAGTTTTGCAGTTGTCTGAAAGGATACTCTCATGGTAGTGTTTGACTGAGGGTCCTGTTGGTGGTGCCCTCAGATGCAAAACCAGAGAGCATTACTTCTTTTCCCCAGTTCCTGGTGTCAGAGGTTGTGGGGATCACAGCCACCTGTGCACCAGTATCCTAATGACCCTAGAAATGCAATTTCCTCCCACCTTCCCTTTAAATTCTGATGTTACCATACATTCTCGGATTACCACTGGTAATATAAGGATCTTGGCCTAACTCTTAATTTTCTTTATTTTCAAGAGCATGAAGTTTGAGCAAAAGTAGTGGAGGGTTCTCTGATTCATTTCAATATCACTGGGAGGTACAAAGGGAAGAGCACTTTCATTAGTCATAGGGGTCATCACAGTCTGGATTTAGTGGGGCTGTGTGTTGGTACCCATGGCCCACTACCTGGTCAGGAGATTCTTGGTGAAAAGTCCATCAGTGTCCTACTTCAGATTCCATCATTGATTAACTAGACTCAGATATTTCTTGGGGAGAGCCCTCAACTAGATCACCCAGGAGTGGATGCCAAATTATTTTTAGGTCACACTGTTACTGGTCACACATTGCTATCTTGGTGGTAGATGCTTTTTCCATGCCCTGAAATTTGTCAGTTAAGATCTGAACTGTGCCACAAATTAATTGACATTATCTTATAAGGAAGTTTAATTGAGCTAGTAAAGGCTATGAAATGAAACTAGAGATCTGAGTCTGGTCAAATCTTGTCATTACTGTCCTCACTCCATCAGTGACCTTAGAGACAGCGGTGTGGCTCAAGGGGCCATTATAGCCTCTGCAGATGATGGCCCAAACACGTTTTCCAGTAGCAGGGAACATGTCATGGGTGGGCAATCCTGTCAGAGCCAAAAATAGTATACAACTGAGCAAGGAGAGGGTTTCAGATGTTTGCATCATTTGTTCCCCTTTCCTCCACTTCCTTAGACAATATGGGCACTGTCAAGACTCTCTTAAGGAGGCATTCTATAGTGATAAGCTCCACAATATGTCCCTCTTTCTCCCTAAGTTAAACAAGATTATCACTTTATTGTGAAGGCACACTACCCATGTCTCTTAGTGCGGGCAAAATGATCATCAGGACTTTGCGTTGTTTTTCATTAAAGCATGATGCTCAATAACTGACTACATTACAGGCTGTCCACCAGTTTTAGGGGAGTGCCTAGGGCTAAGAACAGTCATTAGGTGCAACTGAGTGTGCAGAGTCTCCAACTTTTTGAGCCCATTAACTTAGGGCCATGAGCAGTAACCACAAAATTACTTCCCTAGCTTTCTCCGAGCCCATCTGCTAGATTTTTCAATTGACTCATTGGATATCTTGGTATGTGAATCAGAGGATAAAGAGACTATTGTTCCATGTCAGAATTGAAAAGCTCATGTAAATAATACATTAGCATTCTAGAAAGCCCCATGGTGTCTGCTGGCACTTTCTAAGACATGATTGACATGACTGGCAGAGTGCCCTGTGGAATGCTGAGTCTCTTGCAATTGATCCAGTAGTCTCCCCGTTCCCTTTCCACTGATAGTGTCCTGCAGGCTCACTAGCACCTACCAAAGTGTTCCTTCCAGAAAGGCTTTGTGCTTCATTGACCACCCTGTTGTTTGTGGTAGTTTGTCAGAAACAAATGCCAGTTTTTGAGTTGGTCTATTAAGTAACAGGTCAAACTCAAAGTAACAATTAACCTTATTCACTTATTAGCATATTAAAAGCCATAGGCTAGATAGAGGCAGGTCCCCAGCTCTACCAGGGTCCCATTTTAACCCACAGAAAAGCACTTAGCAAGTGCATCAGTGTAGACTGTGTGAGTGGGCATGGGATGGGGTTGTCTCACAGTAGAAGGAGCCCCAAACAAGAAGCTATTTTCCATTTTATGGACCCCGAGGCTGAATTAGCTGGAGTTCTGAACCACATGAATACCTTTAGTTATTTGTTCCCTATTCTAATTCCTCTCAAATTGAGTTCAGATTGCTTAACACATACTAGAACGACAAACCAACTAAAAAGATTTCATGATTTGTTTGCACTCCACCTCCACCTCTCATGTCCAATAGTGAGGGTTTATGTCAAATACTATATTGATGAGTTATTGCTTTTATTTTTTCTTCAATGATTTCATTTCATTATTTCCTTTTAGTTTTCATCACACCTTCTTTTCCTTGTTGATTTAATTTTGTTTTTGAAATCTGTAGGCCATGAAACTACTTTCAAAAGTAAAACAATATATATGCAAAAAGTTAGAGGAGTATATTTTCTTCCCCAGTCCTCTCCCCTCATTTTGTAGGTAACCAACAGCATTGTTTCTTATATCTTTCCTCTGCTTCTTTTTGTAAAGATAACTATCTCTCTATTTCCTTCTCTATTTTTTTTCTCATTTCTTCATCTTCCTTCCCCAAAGATGGCATTCAAGTTTTCCCTTTTGTAGGTATTTTTTTCCTTCATATTATTCTTTGAAATCCCTTCAAGTCAATTTATAGACATGTTTAATTTCTTTTATAGTTACACTTACAGTTGTTTGTACCACATTATTTACCATATGTACTCTACCATAGTGTGTGGTACAGCACGTACTTGAGTAACATCATTTTGTTCAACATCATTTGATTATAATGTTAATAAGAAAAAAAGTTGATTCCTAGCCAGGCACATGGTCTGGAGTTAGCACATTCTCCCTGTGTCTGCATGAATTTTCTCTGGGTGCTCCAATTTCCTCCCACATTCCAAAGATATGTATATTAGGTAAATTGGTGTGTCTAAATGGTCCCTGTCTGAGTGAGTGTGGGTATGTGTCTGAGTGCGCCCTGATATGGCATGGCATTCTGTCGAGGGCTGGTTCCCCCCTTGTGCTCTGAGCTTCTAGGATATGTTCCAACCACCTGCAACCGTTAACTGGAATAAGTGGGCTGGAAATCAAGTGAATGAATGAATACAAATTATTGTAAAATAAAAATTTGTATACAATAATTATACAAATGTATGACAATAAACAATGCAGTACAAAAGCAGTCTGTAAGCTACCAGATTTGTGATTGCTTTTAAATTATATGGTGGGAGGAGGCATTCGTTACAATTTTGCTTTGCTTTTGATTTATTCCTTTGAATAAATCAAGGAGTGTGTTCCTTGACTTAACTCACCACCACTATGACAACCATCACTCACTGATTAACCACAAATTGGGTAAATAATTATCTTACTTGTTTTTATTATTTTTTCTTAAATCTATGTATAGCTCACATTTATTTTAATG